GCGCCGCCGCGACCCACGGGCCCCCCCCGCCTCGAGACCAAATACCGGCTTGCCGCCAAGGAAAAGGTCTGCACGGGCTCCTACGGGCGGGCCATGGAGAAGTTCTCCGGGAAGTCATCCGTCGCGGAACGGCCGAGATCGAGGAAATCGAGTGGGCCGACCCAACAGCAGCAACAGCAGATACTCGGCTCCTAGACCATCGCGCACTTTGTGTCTGATTTGTTATTACCGATTATTACCGATCATGGCCGATTCTCAGTCGATAATAATAAAACGCACTGGACACGGAAGAGGCGTGACGTCGCGATTACGGGAAATGGTCCGACGAGGATGGCCCGTCAGTAGACACCGGGTAGAGGGTGAGTGGTTGAGTGAGTGGGTGGGTGGGAGGGAGGGAGGGAAGGAGGGTGGATTAGGCTCGAGGAATCACGAGGTAAACGCGATCTCGGTTTACCGGCAAGAGCGAGCAGAGAGCCAAGGAGATCGGTGCCAGTGAGATTTTGTCGCGAGCGCATCCCTTGGTGAGTACGCGTGGTCGTCAAGGCTCGCATTACGCGTCCACCTCGAGCGGTGATTCACCCGCCCGTGATTCAGCAGCGGACTCGCGACGAGGGCCCTAAAAGCTGGCCGCGCGTGCGCTTGACATCGTCCACCAGCCTGTCATTATCGCCCCTCTTGATGATTCGCTCGGCAGTCTCAATTACCGCGCGCTTTATTATTATTATCCCCTCCCTTCGAAGAAATTGCGCCCTCTCGTTACAATCAGGCATGTATATAATTTGTGGGATCGAGATTGTGTCGCTTACGCGGAAATTCGCCTCTTTTTGTCACTCCGATTGACGCTCGATAGGATGATAAGAGCTCTTCTGGCTGGCGGACGAGGGCCGATTTCAGATAGTATTAAATGTTTTTAACTGCGCTCGTACGATCGAGCGGTGATTCGTTCGGTTAAATGGTCACACCTGCTCTTTAAGCTTCTTTCAAGAACGCTTTTATTTTGTTTCCTTATTTCCACTCTTAATAAACGTATTCGACGATTTTATTTTCGCTAAGTGCCTTATATTTAAACGCTTACGGAGCGCGCTATCAATGTAAAAGAAACTGAAGACAAAAAAATGAAAAAACAAAAAACAAAAAACAAGAACAACAACAACAATAATCGAACCTCTCGAGTGTGAGCTTTATTTTATAATAAAGCATTTTTTTTTTTTTTTTTATCATTTTATCATTTGGGGACTGGATAATAATATTGAAACGATTATCAAGCGGATGACGTATTGTGAGCTTATAAGACTTTATGGAGATAATAATTTGTTAACGAATGGATATCGAAGCACGGATTTATTGACAATGATGGGCTATAATGATGGCAAAAAAATTCCCTTACGATGGTTTGATTTGAATTTTTATTGCAAATTATCGGTGGTAAATTCTTACGAGGAGATACAATTCGTTCGAACTATGTTAAGGTTATCGTACTTAAAAATAACTTTTAGAAATATACTTAATGCCAAGTTGCTTTTAATAATTATAAATGAAATATTCGAATGAAAATACCGAGTGCATACCTGTCGACGGGGGGAGGGCGGATGCGGGAGTGGGTCGGGGATCAAGATCATTTTAAGCAGTGAAATTTTCCTTTCTTTTTCTTTAATAAGAATACAACTGTAATTTAGTTTGTTTTGTTTTTGATTTTGTTTTTGTTTTTATTCGACAACACCAATGATCATTCATCGATAATAAGTAATACATGTACGAGAGTAGTTGTCTAGAATGTTAAGAAAATAATTTTGTATGAAAACATTTTTTTTCATATAAGTTTGCTCTCTATCTATCGACGGGCCAACCAATATGTGTTA